AATCAATTTTGAATCGAATTGTGAGATAGTAAAAGATTCCCACCCCTAGCCAAAACCAACTTGTCAGGTGAATGTGGAGTTGGTCTCGTCGCCTTACTTCCCCCTCCTCTCCTTTCTGCAGCTGAGTGCTGCAGCTTGTCAGAGCTTTGGGACGACGCTGCTGAATGATTAGTGCAAAAAAGTCTCCACACACCTGAAGAAGTATCTAGATTTGACTCTAGTTGTTTATAAAAATGTGCTAGAAGGGTCTTAAAACTGGCTAAATCTAGTGACACCGTCGCTTGACAGGTACATGCTTGTTTCTAAGTCCTGTGTTAATGGTGTTCATGGACTAAAAAAAAATAAAGTCAGATTTCTCAGAACTTGCAGAATAAAAAATGGAAATAAAATCTGTTTTTTAAATTTGTTCGCCCCGTCTCCAGTTTTAAGTGATCAAGGGGAAAATTGCCGGCTTCGGGTCGATTGCTCGGTGCATCCTTATTTTTTATTGGTTAATTTTTATTTGAGTCACCTAAATGGCAAAACAAATTAGAGYATCTCTTTAAAGTTTATGAATCTTAATCTTAATAAGTTTGTTCACATATGCTTTTTTTTTTTATCTGGTTTCTAACGTATTGTACCATAAGATAATAGTTTCCTTAAAAGGCAAGTCTTGGATCAATACAATTATTATTATTATTTTTTTACTTTTCAAGTCTTAACAATTGTAACAGTGTGACAAACACAGCTGGCACAAAATTGCRTCAACATTACTGCCATTAAGAGTTTGTACAAAAGTTGAAACTAGAGGTTTTTAATCCTTTAATTTCCTCTCAGTGTTCCATTAGAGAGGGGCACCTCTGAGGTCTTTCGGCAGAGGGAAGCACGAGCTGCTCGCCTCGCCAATGAGATTGAATCAAGCCCGCAGTATCGCCGTCGCGCCAGCCTGGAAAACGATGAAGGCAAAAGCGAGGAGGACAAGTACAGCTCTGTGCTGAGGGATGGCAGCGATCGGGAAAGGGATCATGAGAGTCCTCGTGAAAGAGGTCGAGACAGTCCTGGAGCCAGCAGCAGGTGAGACTCAGATCAGTAGAAGTTTTACGTGTCTCGCTGTAGAAGATCTGTACACTTTCCTCTGGCAAAGRTGAGCAAAACTATTTTAGCAACTTCAAGGCACAGAAATCTTCTAACAAGTGTCAAACTTRGCAAATATTTTTAATATTTAGTTGTGGTGAAGCTGATTTCTGTGCACCAGATAGTTCTCGTGGTGTATTACATCATCCTCATGTGTTTGATGGYCTTTGTGTGTCTCAGAGAGGGAAAGTACATTCCACTACCTCAGCGTCAGAGAGAGATGAACCGAGAGAGAGCTGAGAGAGGTCCTGGTGGTCCTCCGCCACACAACCGCCTCAGRGGAGGTTACCGCCCTTCTACATCCTCATCTTCCTCTCCAAGACCCCCGCTCTCCTCTGCTGGGGGACCTCAGCCTGGAGTTTCTCCATCAGAGAGAAYCAGCCCTCTGTCAAGTCGAAGCGGGGCCTACGCTCCCCACCACCCACAGGGTAGCCACAGCCCAGGTTCTGGTGCCGCAAGCCCGTACACGCCTGCCTCCCCCGGTGGACCTACATCCACGCCAGCCTCTGCTTCTAATGCCACCTCCCCATCCAGCCCCCCTGCCCCTCATGGACACGCAGTTCCTCATTCTCACTCCCTTCCCCTCTCTCTGTCGGACGCTGGCAGGCCTATCAATGGTGGTACGTTATCTGCCAGGAATAGTTTTAGCTGCTTCATCACATGTTCACAAAGATTAAGACTGATTTTGTGCCTTTCAGTTTCTACTAGAACATCTCCCAAAGCTCAAAGACCTCCACAGTCAAGCAGGACAAACAGGAACACAAACTTTCACTCTCAGCCCACAGGTACAGTTCAGCTGTAACTGTTTTTAAAGTCTTATATAATATTGTATTGCTGCATTTTGTTTAATCCTTTTTTTTTTTGGCAGCTATTCGTTCCCCGAAATCAGGTTCTTCACACGACACACCTTATTTGGACACTTCCTCCGTCTCCCTGCCTGCCCAGAAGACGTCTGGCCCTGCTCCTCTCTTCCCTGTAGATGGTAATGTCTCCCATCGTGTTCTTTTTAGTTTTGGTCAGGCTTGTTTTGGTTTATCAGAGCTGGCAGGTAGCCCATCTTCTCACGCATGATGAATCAGTTTTTATCTGAATTCAAGGACTTTGTTTTCCCCTCTCCAAATTCACACAAACTGATCTTAATTTCAAACATTAATTTTCATTTTGTAATGATTTGACATGACTTTTACTGTCAATAGCATTGTGTGTTTGCTGCAAGATATATAYGTCCTACAAAGATTTTTTTTGTTTTTTCTTGGCCTCGCAGTGAATGAGATCCTTGGTGCAGCTGCAAAAGAAAGATCTGCAGAGAGTCCGAGCAGCACAGAGGACAGCAAAAGCAGTAAAGGTTTGTCTTCTTTAAAAATAACAGGAGGAACAATCAGATTGTACATAGTTATAGGCCTTTTGCATATTTACCAGAATTTGTTTTGTTTTAGTCATTGTCATTTCCTCTTTCCTGTCAGCTCCTTCAGTTCAACAAAGGTCGCAGATTGAAGAGCTGCGGAAATTTGGCAAAGAATTCAGGGTGAGAGCACGGCTGTTTATTTTTCAGAAACGCATGAATTCTTGATCAATCAATAATTGTTCATAGTTCTTTGTTGAATATTACTCATTGTCTGGATATTGCGTAAAAGAATTTTGACATTMAACTATGTTAGCATTTCTGTTAACAATTTTACAACACCAGAAAAAATAACTGTCAGGCATGCTTTCACAGATAAAATGATGCAATAATTAAAATAAAATTGTTAAAATGTGTGTTTAAATTTAGATGGAAAGTGTGTCAGTAAGGCAGTGTGTTTATCTCTATTGCCTGTCGGCTGTAGACACTTCAGGTTGATCTGTTGTGACTCTGCTTCTGTACTTCAGGAAGTTGTTTGATTCCTTCTACCTTTAGCAGGTTTTAAGCCTTTTTCCTGAATATTGAACATTATTATATGCTTGTTGCTGGTGATAATTTGGAAACTATAGTTCCTAAATTGGGAGGTTTTGCTGCAGCCTAAATAGACATTCAGGGCTTTGGGTCATAAATCAGATATGTGTTAGAAACAAATCTCTTAACTTCCTGACGGTCTTCCAGCTCCAGCCAAGTGCAGGCAGCTCCAGCTCGCCCACGTCTCCAGCAGCAGCAACGCCTCCTTCAGTCGGTGAGGTCACTCAGCAGAGTGCAACCAAGCCGCCTTCGTCAGACGCTCACCCTGCTTCAGAGGCCAAGCCTCAGCCTCCCGCTGCCAGCCCATCACAGCCTCAGCATTCCCCAGCTCCCACCGAGGAGCCCATCAAGGACACAACCACCACACTGGGTTCTGCAGCTGCAACAAACACAACACCTATTTCAGACAGGCAGTCACCAGCAACCCCTCAGCCAGCCAGGACCCCAGGAAGTGAGGACGTGAGGTCCGAGTCGACGGAGAGGACAGATGGTGTGGCAGAGTAAGTTTGTGAATCAGGATTTTTGACTTTGCATCGGGAACTTTATGATTTCTGTGACACTGATGAACTTTTTTTTATCTTCTAGCCAAGTAAAGAAATCAACTTTAAATCCAAATGCTAAAGAYTTCAACCCTAACAAATCCCAAATGCCCATGGTAAGCTACTTTCTTCTTATCAAACTTACTAAAATGGAAAAACAAATGTTGGYTCTGTCAGGAAATAAGCTGAGGTAAAGCTCATTGTAACAATGGTGTTATTTTATATAGATTTATAGAAAAACATGAATTGAAATATGTTTGTTTTCTGATCATTCAAATGTAAAATTTAAATGTCTAGATGTAAAATGTCAAATGTTTGATGTTTTTCTGTTGTGCAGACAAAGCCCAACACAGCACCCACCCCACCTCGTCCAACACCTCCAAGCCCGGTGGTCCTGCAGCACGGGCAGGGGCCGCTCTATAATACTCCCTACCTCTCTTATGTCTCACAGATTCACCCTGTGCAGGTATGATCTGATCATTAATGTTATTCTGATTATTACTTTATGCTTTAGTTTAATTTTCCTTATTTTCTGGCAAGATTTATGTTGGTTTTGACTTGTCAAAATGGTTTCTTTCAGCCTCCACCGATGTACCAGTACACAATGTCTACAGTTAACCAAGGAAAATARGCCAGGACCAAAGGTAAAAAGACTATTTTAAATTAAAATGTGATCATTTTACAAACTATTTGCTTCACTTGAAGGAAGTATCTACTGTTTTGCTTCTTTTTCGATCTTTATCWTTTTTCTGTTTGTGGTCCAAAAATGGCACCTAAGTGTGTAAAAGAACTTTAGACACAAATTACCAGAGCTTTGTTGTCTTGATTAATGTATTTTTATTTGCCAGGCTCAGTGGTGGCTCCACGTTCTGATCATGGTACTTCAGCACCTCAGATGCTTCAAGCTGCTGCGTCGGCTGCTGGAGCTCCTCTGGTGGCATCCCCCTACCCTCAGTCCTACCTTCAATACAACCCGCAGCAGTACGGCCAGCAGCAGGTCCTCCAGGCCATGGCGCCCTACCCTGGACAGGTAGAACCCACTGAGCCCAGCCTTGTCAGCTCGTCTTTGTTTCCCTYGGTTTAAATGGTTAACAAATCAAAAGGTGCTGAATGCTTATTGGGCAAAATTTTTTCTGTCTTCCACCACAGCCAATGTACTCCATGCTTCAGGGTGGKGCAAGGATGATAAGTCAAGGTGCTGGTCCTCATCCACAAGCTCTCGGACCACCTGGAGGACCTCAGTTCTCTGCGCAGGGAGAGGGACCTCAGGGGCCACAACAGGGCATCTATGGTGAATGAAAACACAAGAGCTGAAACACCCTGCTTTTACAGATCTTTGATGCTAACTCTGTCTTCCTATTTTTTGTTTTTTGTGCAGCTCCACAGTCGTTCTCCCATCACTCAGGTGCAGTTCATCAGCCACAGCCTTCCAGTACCCCAACAGGCAACCAGCCCCCACCCCAGCATYCTGCTCCCAGTCCTGGACAGGTGAGTGCCCTCCATCAAAAATGACCCTCACTGCTCAGGACACAACCCAGTCTGCACTAAGATTGTTAAATAATAACCTGACATGACAAATGTACGTGTTTTTTATTTGGGAACTTAACTTCACTGAGACGTACATGTGGTTCAGGATATTATCAGTATTTGTTTAATGTGGATACTTTGCACTCTGCTAAATTGTAATTACTCAACATTCACCAGTTAACCGCTGATATTTTAACAGTACATCCTGTTTAGTTTCTGCTATTTGACATGTCTACTATTTCTTTAACAAACCAATGTCTTCTTACAGAACACCCAGTCGGGCCCACAGCCTCAGTCGTTGTACCACTCAGGCCCGTTGTCGGCCCCCACACCACCCAACATGGCTCCAGGTCACACGTCTCCGCAGGGCTCTTACCCCATTCAGGGCTACAGCATCCACAGCCACCAGGGCATCCCACCAACTTACCCCCTGGGCCAGCTAGCACAGGTAAGGCTTCATTGTTCTGGTCCCTTAAAGTCAAGTCTTTTCATCTTACCATAAGGAGGGGCAACACTCAAGGGATCCGGTTGCTCTTTGTTCTTTTTCTTCTGTATCAATTTTAACGTGTAGCTCATTCTGCATACTTGGAGCTAATATAACAATTCAAATGTCAAAACGATATATATATTTTTTTTTTTTTTTGTAAATTAAGACTTTTCAAAACCTTATTTACAAACATTTCCCTCATAGAAATACACTGAGATTTTAAATTTTTCTTACAACAGCCACAATTTTTCTTTTTGAAATCCATTTCAGTGTTTTTGTTTTCTGGTGCCTTTTGGGTTTTGGACAGCATTTTGCTTTTATTTTTTAGGGAGTTTTGTCACATTTCACTTTCAGCTAATGTTCTTTTTAGCTTGTATTCCGCTTCTTTTAGCCTTACCAGCTCAAGATTTAGTTTCTTCAGCCATTCCACAATCACTCTGCAGTTTCCCTGTTCTCTTCCTGACGTTAACTTTGTCTCAATTGTTTCTCAACCTCACTAGGCCCACGTCCAAGGAGCCATGCCAGGTCCTCACCACACAGGCAGCCATGGTCAGCCCCAGTTAGTAATGTTGCAGACTGCTCAGCAGGGTCCCGGCGGAGTGCCCCAGCACCCTCAGCATGGACCTCAGCAAGGAGCACACCAGCACTTTTACATAGGACACCCACAAGGTAGGAGCGAGGCCAACAAAGCCGTCTGTCTTCAACTTTAATCTGGCTGTCCTCACGAGTTTTTGTTTCCCTTCCACAGCGATGCAGGTACAAACTCACCCTGCTTCGTTCCACCCACCTGGAAACTAAAACCTCTCTGCCTCCATGACGTCCTGAACTCTGCCCACCCCACCTGTTGGACATGAAGTCCAGGGAAACACAACACATAACAAAACCGACAGAATCTTACGGAGAGAAGACACCCTGACAGCACCGTACTCTTCTGCTGTAACGTCAGTCAGAACAAACCTCAGTGTCAGCCCCGACCGAGGACGTTTTTAATGGTAATGAAGATGAGGACAGCAGCAGCGTCCAACCCCTTTAACACCTCCCCAGTTTTTTTTTTTCTCTTTTCTTTTAGACGTGAGGCACTTTGCTGGGTGAACCAGTGGGCGAATGGAAAAACAGATGGGAAAAAAACAGCAGCAAACTTTTTTTCCTCTCTCTCTTCCGGAAATGCATTTTAGCCTTGAGGTCTTGTGAATACCACAACACAAACAGGAAACAAAGACTGTCAGAAAAATCTTGGGACGACAGGAGATGTGAAGACATGAGGGGATTTTTAGAAATTTTTTTAACTCAATCTCTAGTAGTTAAGACCACACCTTTGCCCATCTTCTCCTGTAGGAAAATCTAATTTAAAAAAAAGGACAAGACAAAAAAAAATTAAAAACAATGACTAAAAAATAAAGTTCTCAACTCTACTACTACTGTCTGTTCCATTTATTGAATCAGCTGTGCACAGGTGGATTATTGCAGTTAATATTCACCATAACTGCACAAAGTATCAGCAGCATTAAGACAAACTTATTTTTCATTAGTATGAAGCAAGAACATTTCATTTGGAGCTCGCTAAACATTTACTATTGTCTCAGGTTGGCAGGAGGAAGTGATTACTTTTAGGGGACATTTTTCACAGTTTGGATTCGTTCCACTGAGCAGAACAGATCATTTTATTTTAAAGTGACCACAAGAGGGTGCTCTATAAATGACAGTCAACGTGTCGCACACTGTCCTTGTAACAGAAATGACTCTGGGTTAGTGGGCCAGTCTTTCCCCTACAGGCGAATATGACAGCATGCTCTGTAGCTCAGTGTCAGCACTCTGAATCGATGTTTATGAGCACGCCAGCTTGTTCTGCGTCAGCGCGGCCTGCTTTCCCCACACTGTCGGTGCAGTATCGGTCCAGGCTGCAGGTTGTTTGCGTCTCGTCAACGTGACAGAGCGTAGAGCTGCTCGGCACAACGCTCCAGTCGTCCCCGATACTCCAAGTTGCTATAGTTGCCTTCAGGGACCCCTTTGGTGCCGTACAGGAGACCCCAGCAACAGCAGGCAATCACTGCTGTGCTGTCACTGTCGCCTGCACAAAAAATAAATAAATAAAATGGTTGATGGGGTGAAATATAATGGAGTGTTCTAACATCCAAGAATCAAACCACTGACCTCCATGGAAGGCAGCTCTGCTCATCAGTTCCTCCCAGTCTGAGCCAGCTGCCAGCAGGGCATCCAGAGCGATCATTGGAGCATCGTGTCCGCTGCGTCCCGCCCAACCAGACAGGCTGAAGGTCTTATAGACCTCATCTCTCTCAGCTGGGCCGTAGGCTGTTGGCCAAATCAGTGGTCCCACTCCATTAGAAATGCCTCTTTGATCCAGGTACCTGCAGACACACGCAGGACTAATGAATGGGAAAAACTGCCGCTAGAAGAGTGATCAAATATATTTGCTTCATGGTAATAAGTACAGGTACTTTGTGTGCTTTATGAAAGCTTGAGTATTAATGGCCGTTCTTAAGTAAATTAGTCTATCAATCGTATCTCTATGAAGCAGACTTCAGCTGCTCGTACCACTGCCACTTGTCACAGAAGTAGCCCCAGTCTTTCTCCGTGTCCTCCACAGCGAAGCCCCGATCCTGAACGAACTTCCTGGCTATGGGACAGGCCTCGTTGATCAGGCCCAGTCCCCAGGTAGTGATCGGCCTGCGCTGGACAGCGTATGAGGCGAACAAGGCCGACGCTACGGCTCCCAGGAAACCAGTGGGGTGAGGGTGCGTCATCCTGCCCGTCTCCACTGCAACAGCCACGAGTGACAACAGCTGGTCAGGCCTCGGGTACCTGATAGGGGAGGAACAAAGTAATATAATAATTAGATGAGGAAAGATATTCAATATTAATGCAAATATAAACCTCAAAGGGTTTTTTGTTCAGTTAGGTTTTAAATATGGAGCCTTGCGTTGAATGTGGTCAAATGCTAAAGTAGGACTACTTAAATTAAGCCTCTTCTACAGTCAACTTTCTAAACTGATTTAATGCCATGCTGTGACTTATAAAACTGGACTGCATTCAGAACAGAGGAAGTTTTAAATCTGCATCCTCAGGTGAAGTGTCTCACCTCAGGCCGATGCACATGGACCTCATGGCCGCTCCACAGCCCGTCCCCTCAGGGTTATACGGCACCCTGAAGCCTCCTTCTTCTCCAGGTCTCAGTTGGGACACACCTGAACCAGAACGTTACTGCTACATGTTGCGAACAGCTAGTGTGACGTGACTTTACGTTGTATATTTACCCAGAATGCTCGAAGGCCCGGGTTTTCTACCCTCCATGTCTTTCATCCCCTCCACATAACGAGCAGCCACATCATGAAGGAGATCCTCCCCTGTTTTCCCTGTGAGGGACACAATTTCACTCACATTGCTAACTAAAAAAAATGTAATTAATCTTGTGAGCAAACCCTGTCTTTGCCTTCTCACAGTAAAGGTCGGGCTGAATTTCCAGCTTATCTATACAGCCCTAATAGAGCAGCAAATCAAGACAAGAGTAGAAATTAGATTTAACCTTTAGCTGGCGTTCTTGAAAAGGACGGCGTGACGTTTTGTGTCCTGATGAGGTCTGATTCATCCAATCAATTCCTCATTTAAAGCAAAACAGCAACACAAACCATACAACGTTGTGGTGGGATTTTAACCTCACCAGTTGCCAGGCCCTCGGCTGTTGCCAGATGCAGAACAGTGTCGTCGCTCACAGGCCAATCGGGAAGCTGAACCTTGATGTTCTTCAAGCCGCCGAGCTCCTGCAGCTCCTACAGGGTCAGGAGAGGACCGAGGGTTTAAACAAGATAAGAACACTAATTAGAAAAAAACACTGCAATCAATTTAGATTTAAAATATCTTCTACCTTATGGTCAGTGTGTAGAAACTGCATTTAAGACTCTTAAGCCTGACTTTGTGTAATAAAGTACCTACCTTGTGAATAACTGGTCCAGACTCATTGTACTCCCACAGCTGGTTCCTGTAGCCCAGAGCGTCACCAGCACCACTCAGCACCATGGCTGCCTTATAATGCTCCACAGAGGCTAAACTGATCACAACAAAACAACATTTGGACATTTAAGGTGCATTCTTGTAATATAGCTACATCAGTTGTAGTAGGCTACTGCAAACAGAGAATATGCTCTAATATGCTTAAAACCATTTTTAACTTAGTTTTATGAGCAAACATTACACCGACTGCCAACATCTATTTTCCTGAGACAAAAATACATACAATACACGAGCACTGGATGACATATTTTATGTAGACCTACTGTGCAACATTATTTAAGGTTAATTATTAACGAATGTAAGACAAAAAAAAAAGCAGTTTACCCAAGAATTACAAACTCACCGGTCCATGTCAGCGCGTCGTCCCCCCAAATAAGTCCTCAGGAGGCGGACACTCACTTCAGTAGACCCCYAGGATGCTAACTGCTAACTGTCCGGATGCTAACACGCTACTAGGCCACTCCGAGCTGCTTTATGGCCTACCATTCAAACCTTTTCACACACCCCTAGAGTCAACAGTCTGCAACAGACTCCGTGAAGAAGTGCAAGCTAAAAAAAAAAAAAAGGTCCAACGGGAAGTTAAATATAGACAGCTGTAGTTGCGAAGCTGGAGAATAAATATCAAATGTTTCTGAAACCTAGCTTAATTATTGACCAGAAACTGGATTTAGCAGCCACAGACATCTCTGTGTAAACGAGGTCAAAAAGCTTCAGAAACTCATGCAAACTAAAGTTAATTTAACCAGGTCAGAATCCTCACAAATCAATCAATGTCTGAAAAATGTGCATGTTCTAAAACCTGCTACTTCTCTGCATTGATGTCCAGCTGTGTGAGCTGTTAATTCTTTACAGGCATTGGTGCATAATAATAATGCACCCCCATACCATCAAGGAGGCAGGCTCTATTCATCTGACCACATAAGTTTTCCACTTTATTTAACACAGAGGTGACCAAAGTGTGGCCCGCGGGCCAAATTTGGCCCATCAAGCCATTTGATTTGGTCCACCACTTTCACTCATGGTGCTGGCATGATCTTTGAATTATAATATATTAAAATTAAACATGTAATATAAGTAACAACAAGAGACATTTAGATTAGGTTTAAGCACACATGTAGATTTTCACCCTTTATAAGACCACAAAGACTCATATTTGATAAATTTACAAAATGTCCCTTGAGCCCTTGCTGCCAGAGTGCACGTCAAACATTCTCCAAGTGCACGGGGTAATAAATAAATAAATAAACAAACAATGGTTGCCACACTGGCTGCAAGCTTAATCATTAAAAAGGACRTTTCTTAAACTGTATTTGTACATATTTAATGTATTAAATTGTTTCATTTGGCCACAGCCCTCATGGAGGTTTTCATTTTGGCCCTCTTGAGGAAAAAGTTTGGGCACCCCTGATTTAACAGGATCATGGTTATGGAGGTCCAATACTATGCTATTGATATTTTACTATAATTTTTTTCTCTCCACAAGTTTTTTAAATTTCCATGTGTTGTTTTTACATTTTTCTATTTCCTGTTTTTACTTTACCTTGTGCATTTCTGCCTCATTATGCAAATAAGGTGGGCTGCCCTTTTTGGGTCAGCTCCTCTACTATTGGTCAATAGARAGGAAGAAGCAGAAGCCATGTGCAGAGCTAAACATGGGCTGTGTCCTCATGAGTGCGCGTTTGTCATACGTCACTGCCCCACATGGATTACTGTCCCAATTGGAAGGCTCCTCATCACGCAGTCAAGGAATGCAGCCGACAAACTCTCGAAATCCGAGGATGCATCCATGTATGCTCACGGGTCGAGGATATCCCAGGACTCAATGCACGGGCAGCAAAATAAACAGAGAAACGAAGATGGTGGAGTTTTTATTTTTATTTTTAACGAGTCGGCATAGTTTGGAAATTCACCACAGACCATAGTATTTGTTTTTAAAAATAAGTTTAGCAACTTAGTTGATGAAATCTATGCTGCAATAAGATGTTAAATTGAAAAAAATAAGCAACTACAAGTTACAAGAATGTAGTCATAATATTACAACAATATTATGAGAATAAAACCGTAATATTACGAGATTTAAGTCATATTACAAGAAAAAAGTAATAATATTCTAGCCTTTACATGAAAAAGCATGCTTTGTGTGGCCCTAATTCTCCAACTTAGAGACTGGAGCTAAACCCAAATTATTATTGTTTTTATTATTATTATTTATTTATTTACCTTTAACATTTTAACTGTGAKGTTATTCTRCCAGTAAAAAGACGTGTAAATACACGTCCCAACGCATTTTAAGTCTGACATGAAACTGATCCCTATTGTAACYGAGGAGCACGTGGTCACACAAACTCACGTAAAGCRGACGTCAGACGAAGGGTAGACCYTCTCATTTCACAGCAGTTTGGAGCAGCTTGAGGCCCACATGGCCCAGCTAGGCTGSTCCTCATGAGGTGACACAGCCTCAGTTTAGCTTCTAGTTTAAAGGTATCATATCATGCTTTTAAATRCTTCTTTTTCACGTCTAAATCATTCACTTATGGTCTATTTAAAATAAAACTGCAACGCTTTGGTCTTAATTCTTCYTTTTTGTTGCTCCACAGACTCCTTGCTTTCCTTGCTTTACCCCTGTTCTGAGTTGCGCCTCAGAGCAAGCTGTTTTGGTGTGGTCTCTTTAAATATAAGTGAGAAATTTCACACCGCGCCCCCTCCAGGTCGCTGAGCATTCGACTCCACCCCGTTCGGCCATGTTTGTAGTTTCATAGCAAAAACACAGTTATCTACCGACTAAAAACTGTTTTTAAGAAAAAACAAGATAAGATAAAACTTTATTGATCCCACAGTCTGTAAATTTGCACATTACTGCAGCTTAATACAAGAGAGGCTGAGAAGAATAATGAAAGATTAATAAAAGATAATAAACAAAACCCCACAATATACACATGTGATATATAGTAATGTAGCAATGCACATATACACATATTCATAAACACATATGCTTCTTTATGTACATATATACACCGTAGAGTACAAAAATGAATGTATATGAAGGTGCATATTGGTGATGGTAAGAAAGTATAAGGATGTCAACAACAATAGACTTGTCAATCCAGCCTTACATGTACGAGRCAGAGTCTGACCCAGTGCAAGACACTCAGAATGACAAACCTGCAGAACCACGTCTTCAAACGAATGTGTCACAATGATGCGTTATTTATTTACACACTCTATATCCTTACCTACACTGGGGAGCATAGCTAAACTAAAATACATGCATTTGAACTACTATTGTATTATATAATTTTTTTGTGATCAACACACCAACACATTTTTTTCCTCTTTGCCTTTGTTTTAAACTAAGTTTTAAGCAAAACTGACCATGATAGTAAAAATGTATAAGGTAAACAAAAAAAATTTAAGAGACACAAATGCATCAAAAATTAAAAGGAAAACCAAAATTTGTTTTTTAAAAACAGTAAAATTACGGTTGTGTTCTAAAATATATAATTTATTGGAAGGAAGCTGGAAAAAT